TGTTTCTAAAGTATGTATTTAGGTTACACATTTCTCTGTGAATATTGTTTTTAGCTGTAGCTCATAAATGTTGATATACAATGTTTTCATTTCCTTTCAGCTCTGATTATTCTCTAGTATCCAGTATAATTTCTTTTTAAACTTGTGAATCAATTTTGAAGCATTTTTTTCCTTGTTTAATTCCTAAATATGTAGAGGTTTGTGACTATCTTATGTTATTGGTTCCTAATATCGTTGTACTGTCACCAGAAAAAGGGATTTGTCTGTCTTTGGTATTTGTTTATATTTGCTTTGTGGCCTAGTACGTGGTCAATTTTTATACATTCCTTATAAGTTTGGAAAGAATGAATATTCTCTAATTGTTGGATGCAGGGTCCATTAGATCCACTTTATTAATTGTTGAAATCTTTTACGTTCCTAACAACAATTTATGTGTTTGTTTTACCAGTTATTTAGATGTGCTTAAAAAAAAATCTAATGATGATGATGAATTTGTGCATTTCTTCTTAAAATTCTACCAAGTTTTGCTTCATATATTTTGACGCTATATTGTTAGATGCAAACCATACCATATATTTCGGGTGAATTGTTTCTTCTATTTTTATGTGATGATCTTTTTTTTTAAGATTTTATTTTTAAGTAATCTTCACACTCAACATGGGGCTTGAACTCACGACCCCGAGATCAAGAGTCACACGCTCCACCAACTGAGTCAGCCAGGCGCCCCTGTGATGAACATTTTTATCCTCAGTAATGCTTTTTGTTTTAAGACCAATTTTGCCTGATAGTAATGTAATTGTACAGCTTTCTTTTGGTTATAGTATTTTTCTACTATATCTTTTCCCATCATGTTTTCCCCCATGTTTATGTGTCAGTATTTTTTTTTTAAGATTTTATTTATTTATTTGACAGAGACAGACACAGCAAGAGAGGGAACACAAGCAGGGGGAGTGGGAGAGGGAGAAGCAGGCTTCCCGCGGAGCCCGGAGCCCGATGTGGGGCTCGATCCCAGAACCCTGGGATCATGACCTGAGCTGGAGGCAGACGCTTAACAACTGAGCCACCCAGGCACCCCTCAGTATGTTTTTTTTTAAGATTTATTTATTTGAGAGAAAGAGAGCACACCCAAGTGGGGGGAGGGGCAAAAATCTCAAACAGAGTCCGTGCTGAGTGCACCACCCTGAGATCGTGACCTGAGTCGATACCAAGAGTCGGAAGCTTAACTGACTGAGCCACCCAGGTGCCCTGTATTTGTCAGTATGTTTTAATAAAAACAGTGTATAGTTGCATTTTGCTTTGTTTTGTGTTTTTCTCTAATCTGACATTCTCTATCTTTTAACTGGAAATTTTGATTATTTACATTTACTCCAATCACTAATATATTTGGAAATATTTATATCACTTTATATTGTATTTGCTATTTGCCATGTGTGTTCCTTTGCTTATTTTTACTCTTTTTCTGGTCTTAATGAAGTTTTCCATATCCCCTTTTCTTTCTTTTAATGTGCATTTTGAAGTCGATAAACACTTTTGTTAATAAGTTAATCAGTACCTCTACTCTCCTTACAAACAATAAGGACTTTAGGATACTTGAAATCTGTTCACTCCCTCCCATCAGACATGATATTATTTTCCAGTATTTTAGTCCCATGCTGTTTTCATATCCCTCAAGTTACTTTAAGCATGGCCAGATTCAAATGCTCAAATGACTAGTATACTAAAACACAGACCTTCAAAGCAGTGGTTCAAACAAGAGAGAAGTGTTCTTCCTTTCTCACAAAGTATTCGAGGAGCAATCAAGTGGTTTGAGGCGGTTAGGCAGCTCCATCCTATGAGGTCACCCAAGATAGGTTTTTTCCATCTTGTTCTGCTACCCTTCCCTACCTAGGGTTAAATCCTGGCACCGGAATGTTCTTAACCACCAAGTCATAGTCATCTTAACTACCCAGATGATGATTCACCTCTACCACGTCCACATTCTACCCTTTGGGAAGGGGAGAAAGATGAAGTTGAACACTTCATCTTTCTTTAAGAAAGTGACCTGGAAGTTCGTATGATTGCTCTTTGCTGCAAAGTCTCTTGCTGGGTGATTGAGAATCCAACTAAAACCTTGAGGCTTCTGTTATTAAAGGGAAGAAGGTGAGAATGGGCTTTGGGAAACAAGTTGCAGTCTTCATAGACATTACCAGAATCCTGTGTCCTCTTCTGATTTTCTCTGTATTTGCTTCAACCTTGGGCAAGCAGCTCCCCCCACACCCAACTCCCAGTGATGGCAAAGATGATCACTAACAACACTATCCTCATGGTCTCTCATTTTAGCAATTCCAGTAAAAAAAGAGAGTGGCTCCTTACAGATAGTTCCAGCTGAAGTCTAGGATTTCCTCTAACGGCTCCAATGTGGATCACATGTCCATCACTAAACTAGTCACTTTGGCCAGGGGGATGCAATGCCCTGGTAAACAGGTGTGGGTCACATAGTCAGCTCTGGAAGGTGGGTTAAGTAGGGTTAATCCCATCCAAACCATATGAACTGAAAGTAAGAAGAGTGGTCCCCAAAAGCCAAATAATGAGGTGCTGTCGTCATCAGAATGGATGCTGAGCAAGCCACATTAACTGATAACCATTAGATTTATCAATCCTATTGGGCCATTGGATGGTTCAATAAGGTTGTACCAATGAATGTATTTTAAAAATCCAAAAGAATGAATATAGAAGGTGATATTGATGATAAAGTGACCTGGAACTCTCTTACTTACACTTCTGATAGGAAGTGGGCAGAGTGGGCATCAGGAGACAAGACTTGTTAAAGGGGGGCTTGGATGAGGAGCCAGCCAAACTGAGTTCAAATCCGCCCAGTAACTGGCCAATAACACCAGCTTTCTTTTTAAAGAGAGTCTATTCTGGGACAGACATTTCACTAAAGTATCCTTCAGATTTTAAATATGAATTTTAAATAGGAAGTCTCCTTAGTCATTCATTCAGCACGTTGCAAATGAACCTCTGTTATGCTGACCATAGACCATACTGTTTGCTAATTATTTATTTGTCTGTCTTCTGGTTCTCCATAACACACCCCTCTAATTGAGGGCTCCCACAGAGCTAGAATTCATTTGTGTTCCTCAGTCCCCAGGGCACAGAGTGGGCATCAGGAGATGAGACTTGCTAAATGAAAGAAGAGTAAGGTCTCAATGAACACACAGTTCCCTCCTCCAATTTCTAGTTGCCTTGAAAATCATTATTGGAAAGACATCAGCCAAATCCCACAGAGTTCTACAGAATTGAGGGTCAGACCAGATTATCTTGTTTGTAGAAATGTATCTCCTAATAACTTGAAAACACTGCCAGGCATCATTTTATTTATGGAACTCAAATCAAATCATAAAAAGACAAAGACCCAAGTAGAAGGAAGTTCAACAGATAATTGACTAATCAGAGTTGTCTTCTCAACCTGTTTGACTCTAAGGTTATAAAACACCAAAAACCCAGCGGTGTCTTGTGGTCAGTTCCCAATCTAAACGCATAAATGACTTTCTTCCCCAGAAACACCAATGACCCCAGCTTACTCGATGCTGAAAACTCTGCCTATCTTGGAGAGAAACAGAGCTGAAGATCAGTGAATGTTGCTAGGGATAAGGAGTAGAAGACAATGCAGGAAACATAAATGGAGGGACATCAAGGAGAGGCCAAAAAAGTAGTTGGAAAAACAAGAGGTTTTCCTGGAGAAGGTATCCAAGTGGCTGCCCTGCTTGGGAAGCTCCATCTAGGCTTTCCTGGATGGGTCCTTTGAATACTAATAGCTACCATTCATCGAGCCATTGCTACATGCCAGATGTTGTGGTAAGCATTTTTAGTGCATTATCTCATTTTAATTCTCAAAACAACCCCGCAAGTCCAGAATTGGTACCCCTGTTCAGAGATAAAAGTAAAGCTCAGAAAGGTGCAGTGATATGTCCATGGCCATACAGCTAAGGAATGTAAATCCAGAATTTGAATCACTGTGGACTTGACTTGACTCAAAGCTTCTGCTCTGAGTCCTTAACTCTCTTCACAAAACCACTTTGAGGTAGCTCTTATTTCCTCCATTCTACAAATGAGGCCACTGAGGCCCAGGGATGACCCAACTTGCCCAAGTGACACAGTGCCAGATCCAAATCAAGCCTGTCTGACTCCAAAGTCTGCTGTGCCCCCTAGGTAGGGGAAGGGCAAAAGCCGGGGGTCAGGAACATGCCAGTAATTCCCTGTGCATCAGGCCCTACCCTGTCCTAGGACACTGTCCCCTTGTTTCCTTTCCACCCCCCCCCCCCCCCCCAGCCTCCACACTTAGGTCCCTTCCGAGAATTTTCTTTTCCCTGACTCTCCCCAGTATGGGCCCTGGGTTGAATAGGGACTGGGTAGTTCTTGGGAGGCTCTAAGACACCCTTCCCCCAAAGGTCCTCTAATAAAGGAACAGCCAGGGCCCCACCAGCCTGGGGACTCACATCCCTACACATCCGAACAAGGTCTGTGCATGACTGACAAGGGGGGCTTGGATCAGGAGCAAGCCAAACTGAGTTCAGATCCCGCCCAGTAACTGGCCAATAACACCAGCTTTCTTTTTTAAAAAGCGTCTATTCTGGGACAGACATTTCACTAGGGATATCCTTCATATTTTAAAAATTGAATCCCCCCTCCTCCATGATTGGCCCTATTTTACAAAAGAGGAGCCTGAGGCTCCCGGAGGGGAAGGGACCAGTGTAAGGACAGCAAGCCGTCACCAGCCTGGGACTGGAACCCACCTGGGTCCCAGATTCTGCTGTTGCCTAGGAGCCGAGGAGAGAGGAGCTGCCAGAGCGCGGGGCGCGGGGGG